CATAAGATTTTAATAAATAAATAAGATATAATTAAAAATGTTGCCGTTTAGGTTATTATTATTATTATTTGCTAATTTGGTTTAACTAATAGTGTGTTGTCGTTTAGGTTAAAAAGGAAATTATTTTGCTAATTTGCGTTAACTAATAGGTTGATGCTAGTTTGGATTAAAAAACCGTATGTTGGTATGCTTAAAAATATAAATAAATAAATAAGTTAATTTTTATTTTATATACTTTTTATTAAGAATTGGTAAAAAAGAATTAGAAAATGTATCTATCAATATAAATATTGAAAATTTAGCTCCAATCAAATCCAACAACATTTTTAACAAAGAGCATAGAGGAGGTAGCATTAATTGTGGTATGAATTCAAGAATTGGTTGAAAAGATGATGATGAAGCCTCATCAGATTGTTTATAAAGACCTTAAACAACCTCAAAGGAACATAACCTCCTCCAGAAGAATCATTAATCCCATATTCTTGTCCATACTGTGCGTTTTAAATACCTTGTTGCTTGCAATTTTCAAAATATCGGCAAATAAATTGTGCTTTTTACAAAACTCAGGGAATTTTCACAGCTTTCACTTTGTAGTTTTGTAGTGATCAACATGTACTTCGATTAAGTTTTGGCAAGGAAATATAGCCTGCAAACAATAATTCAGAAAACTGATTAGTTAAGTTAAATATTGGGTTTAATCAGAACTTAGAATTTAGAACTTGAATAACCGATTTGCTTGCTAAGAACCTGCCAAACCAGATAATTTTTCAGATGAGAAATGCTAAGTACCTTCATGAACCAGAAGTAATCCAAATAAACACAAAGCAATTAAAAAAAGATCGGTACAAAACAAATAAAATATATGTGGAACTCTTGAACCAATACATTGCCCTGGTTGTATATCTTCTTGATTTGATACATATATACTCCATTTTCTTGCTCTGAACCCTAAAAGTAATACCTTGGCACCGATCGACAAAAGATGTCGAACCCAAAAACCTACTGATTAAAACATTTAGTACATGCAGAACACGCAAAAAAAATAAAAAATTAAAAAATAATCCCTTTCGGAAGCGGAATGGATCGATTTGTGGAAGAACAAAATAATTTTCAATTTTAAGGAATGAATCTCGGTGAGTTGGGAGAAATATTGTGACATTACCTTCATCATTTATGCAGATCTTGTTAATCAAGACGAAATTTCGGTAAACTGGGAGCTGATTTCTAGGGTTGAAGTTGAAAATCTAACTTGTTTCTGCTTTGTGCAGGAATGAGACAGGACAAATTGAGTATTTGGTAAAAAAAACTTTGAGCAGGATTATAAATAGGATTATTAATCGGATATATGGTTAGATGGGCAAATTTGGAACTCTACTTTGAAAACATATGGGTTAAGGAGATGACAGGTGACAAAAATGGATTCTTTTATTAAGACAGGGATATATATATATATATATATATATATATATATATATATAGATATATATATATATATATATATATATATATATATATATATATACTAGTTTATAACCCGTGGGAACCACGGTTACAAAATTAATTAAATTTTAATAGTAAAAACTCAAAATTATTAATCACTTATTTTAAATAAATTATTAACTAAGAGATTTTTTTTAGTTATATAAAATTATAATCATTGATTTAAATAAATATGTAGAATTATATCACTTTATAATTTGTATTACTTTTATTTTAATGTTATTAATTTAATGTAATTAGAGTGAGAAATTTAAAATTTAAAATTTAAATGGGGAATCAATAGGTTGACAAGTGACATGCATTAATTAAGAGACATAATAGGGTGACACATGTCAAAAGAAAAATAAAATATGCATTAATTATGAGGCCTAATATTGTGACACATGTCAAAATGAAAATAAAACTATTCTTTTATTAGAATAAGAATATATATATATATATATATATATATATATATATATATATATATATATATATATATATATATATATAATACTATGTCATTAAACCGTTATAACGGATATCATAATTTAAAGATATGAAATCCCAAAAAAGCCCCTCACCTTCTCAGACAAAAGTTTCTTTTCTGTGGATGTCACTTCAAGCTTTCCTTGGTGCTCAATTAGTTCTTTGTCCTAAGGTTTTAGTTCAGCACGAACCTTTGCAACTTCTTCTCTGAATTTCTCAGTTTCAACTATTAAAAAAAACAATAAATAAATATTTTTCACACTCTAAAGTATAAATCATGTTAATATGATTATTAGTAATTATTAGTAATGAAAGTTGGTGAATAAGCATATAATCAAGAAAGCATGTTATAAGTTATAACCTCTGCACCTCTAGGTTTTCTCTTTCTTTGTCTGTAATTGCTAATCTCTTAAGGGCATCAACAGTGACTTGTATGGATGTTCAATATTAGAGCAAAGGGCATAACCGACAATTTTTCAAAGTATGATGTATTATAAGAAAAGAACTTAAAATTAGGATGTTTAATAGAAAAAAAAATTGAAAATATGGTGCTATATTACACTTTTTTTAGAGTAGAAGAAGACAACGACGAAGAAGATAATCTTTTTGATTGTGATTAGCATCTTAAGGTAATTACTCATTTTACCCCTTTGAATTTATTGTACTTTTATCAATTTCTACATAATTGTTTTTGAAATTTACTGTTATAACTTTATTTCTTAACCAAAAGAGCAACATACTTGCATTGTTTTTACCAATAATAATGTTGCTATTATGGGTTACATATAATTATCGGAGGGACAATATCTGTAAAGTCACTATTATGCAGGGACCATTTATGTAACTTTTATAAGCACATGGGTCATTTCTGTAAATTCTCTAAAAGGCATGGACAAATTCTGTTTTTTTTATGAAACGCATGGACCATATATGTTGTCTTCCGATTAACCAGGTACCATTTCTGTAATTATTGCACGACTTCCATAATGTGCCCCCAAATTATACATGAAGGTTATTGTAGTCATTCAAGTGTTTATCCCAAAGTTATATTGTATTGGTAAAATGACCGAATGAATAATGATCATTTTCACCAGTGTTGTTGCTTGATTAATATTGTCCAACTATAAAAAGGTGTAACAAAAGACGTAAATGCCCTTGTTATCCATAATCTTTTGTCCCAAAATTCATATCTTTTGACCGAGACTCGTTTCAATAGGACAAAACTAGCAATTTTTTGTCCCAGGCAGAAAGATGGGACAAAAGACCTAAATGCCCTTTTGATTCAACACAACATGAAAGTAGTGTTTGTAGTAACTAAACTATAAATGTTTGATATCATTAACTAAAAGTAGATATTTACAGGTTTTGAAATGTATCAAAGGAATGGAATCGGTCAAAGGAATTGGAATTTGAAGAAATTGAAATGTGTCACGTGTTTGGTTAGAAGAGTTTGTAAGGAGAATGGAATTAAATTCAACTCCGTTCGCCTGTAAATATCTACTTTTAGTTAACTAAACTATAAATGTTTGCTATATGATGGTATTGGTTGTGTTAAATTCACACATATTGATTGTTTTAAAGAATGGATGAAAAATGATGACGTGTTATTAATATTCTAGGTGTTATTATATATTAGTATGTTATATTGTTTGAACAGCTGAATATTATATATTAAATTGTCACTAGTAGGAAGCTATTGAAACAAAAGCAATTTAAAATCTGATCTTGGAAATATAGAAATCGAAAGAGGTTATATGTAAATAATATATAAATGGAAAAGGTGATATATGTAAATAATATATAACTTAAAGGGGTGTTATATAAAATTACCTCTAAATTGAAAAGAAAAATAACAAAGCTGTACACCAAATTTGTCTGTGATGTGAATATTTTGTTTTGACGCGTAGTAAATCCCCCCATACCTCATGGCCTTAAGGGCAAATTAGTAAATCTACACAAATCTACTTCCTCCCCAATCCCAAATTAGAGGTATCACGTTCAAAAGATCGCATCTCTCCCTCTCTCAACCTGTCGCCGCTGTTGCTTAGCCATCATCACGCCGGTCGTTGCTACTCACAGCATTCTGATTTGTCAATCGCCGATTGTTAGGAATTGAGACAGGGTACACGCAGCGGAAACACTATCACACACACAAACACACGAAGGAAATAAAGCAAGAAGGAACACAAGGATTTTACGTGGTTCAGATTCGGTGTAAATCCTATGTCCACGGGCGCAACTAGATTTTATATTAACTCACTATAAGATTACAAATGGTAATATCACTCGGCACTTTTGTTGTTCTGCGCTACGCTGCTGCACACTTTCTTCTTGCAATACATACACACATATATATATATATATATATATATATATATATATATATATATATATATATATATATATATATATATATATATATATGTTTGTGAGCCGCAATTTGCACATGAAATTGAGCCGCCATATTTGAATTGAAATATATGCCGTCCAAAACTATTCCACCTAAAATGTGCGTCCATTCAATATTCAATAATTGAACCACCGTCCATTTTTTCATTAAACAATACAATTAAATTGTTTAATTTGCTAAGTTACATTTATGGCCCTTGAACTTTTAGAAACTTGTCAATTTGTTCATGACTCCATAAATCTTAACAATCTCCCACTTGAAGGCTTGAACAAATTAGTCTTTGCCCATGTCTTAAAAATAGAGGAAAGTGGGTCTTGAGATTTAATTGGGATTTTTGGATGATTTATGCTGGAATTATGGTGATTTTTTTTTGTAGTTCCACCTCAGCATCAAGACAAAAGTGGATAAGTCGGGTCGGATATTGGGCAGTGGATAATAGATACAAATTTGGGTTGCTGTGTGTTTTGGGCTCCTGTGTTCACGCCAGTTTCCGACTCATCTAATGATCCAATAGCTAGATAAGCAATGTGACGTGATTTAGCAGTTCACCGTCATTTCCTTTACCAATGACAGCTGTATATTCTTCCCCCACAAGATTGCCACGTTTTTATCACCGCTCAAAATATCTTCTCTCTTTTCGATTGTCTTTCTTCGTCGGTTTCCCTTGCCACTGCCTCTAACATTCTCTCCCTCTGTGATTCATTCTCTCTTCATATGAAATTAGGGCTTTTTACCACCACCGCCATCTAGAGAAGCCAGTGTTCCATACCAATCTGCAAGTTATCTTTTACTTTATTTATTCCGGTTATGTCGCTACTCTCCGCCTCCTTCTTTTCACTCCATGTTTGATGCTTCTATTTCCAACCACCGCTTCAATTTCATCGGTTCTGGTCAAAGTTTCAACGTCAAAATGGAACGCTTCCTTCTTTTCTTACAGGTTTTATCTCCCCCTCTCAAATGCTAATAATCACTTTATCGAGCATCTTCATCTTCTTTTTTACTAATTGTGGATTCCTTTGTAGTTGTGGTGGCTGGATGTCATTTCTGAAAGGTGTTTACGCAATTTAGATTACATACCAAACCCAATCCTAATTTTGCTGTTTTTCCAAGTTTCTCTCGACCTTTATGAGAACTTCCAAAGTCTTTGATTTCAGTTGACTCCTAACCATATGTTCATTATGCTATAGCTTTACTTATTGGTTTTGATAGACGAATCATAGAAGATATTTAACGACTTATCTGATTTGAGCTAAGGACGTGTGTTGGTATCGAGAGAACGACGTAAATTTTTTTTTTCTTTTTATTTTTGTCATTTATCCTTTTTCCTTTTCACTATCCTGACTTCTTTCTCCTGTTCTTGAACATTAGCTATCGGTAAGCTTGATGTTTGTAATACCGCATAGTTTTCAGCCAACGATGGTTTGATATACAACAGTGGTCACGAAAGTTGTATATTATTTGCGTTTGTTTTTAATTTTTTATTTTGGTTTTCTTGAATTTCGTTTTTCATCTATTTGGTTTTTTTTATAACGTATATCAGTAATCTTCTTTCACCTCTTCTTTTATTAATTTTAGTTTTTGAATCTCTTGACGTTTTTTTCTCCAAATTACTACTAAAAAGAATTACCGCTAGACCTAGACCGAATATTTAGAAATCTCCCTCTTTATATTGATCGTTCCACGTTTAAAATTGCAGGTTTGTAGATTCCAAAGTGGAATAGATAGCAAATTGTAAGCCCGTTGATCTTCTAAAGATGTTACTAGAATGTTAGAGCTCTTGAAAGTGAAGAAAATTCAACTTTCTAATGATATTGAAGAATGAAGATCTTAATGATTTTTTAGTGAAATTTGAAATTGAACATATGATGTTATTGAAGATCTTAATGATTTTTTAGTGAAATTTGAAATTGAACAAATGACTGCAATTTGTATTTGGGCCTATTATGTAATTGTATGACATCGTCAATGTAATTGTTTGAATAAGAGTCGTCAAATCTTATGTTGAGATGTTGGTCGTGTTAGTTTTTGTTACTTTTTGATATCAATTTCAAATTATCATGAACAAATGAGTGTAGAACTCAATCCTATTAGGAAGAAATTAGATTGCCACAAACCCTGACGAGGGAAAATTGGTTATGAAGATGTGTTTTGTACGACATTAATCAGATGCTTGGTTTTATGCAGATGGAGTGGCTTGTTGGTTGATGCACTAAAAGCTATTGGAGTTGTAACTTTCTACTGTCCATGTGAGTTTCCTCAAAAAAAAAAAAACAATCTTAGCTAAGGGTGCTTATAACTTTGAATCCTATTACATTGTGAGGTTGTCTAAAAATAGCTGTTAGTGATATTGCTGGAATAAAACCTCTTCCCAAAGTAGGAAAACTGGTTGAGTTTCACTTATTTTTTGTCAAAAATATTGTTGCCAGGTTCCCTAAACATCCTTTTCTATTGGTTGGAAAATCCATGGGTATGACTATCATTCGTTAGAATGTTAAATCATAATTCTTTTGTTGATGAAGAGGTAAGTTCGTATCTTTTTTATTTTTTAAATTCTTTTTAGTTGAATTTAGTCACCTTCCCAAATGAAAGGTTAGTAGTCAAAATCTAAGCTTAGGAAGATCTCTGGATTTCTTTCTGCTGACAAGGCATAAGAGCCGTTACCAATGGACGGTGTGGTGTTGGAATTACCCAATGAATGCTTTACATTTTCACGCACACCAACATACCAGATGACAAAAAAATACAAGGTGCTATTTTCTTAACATGTTTGGTAATAAATTCATGGACTTATCCAATTATCATTTTTTTAGATCGACTATTAGTGGTTGCTTTTGTATATGAAATGGGTATATTGATTGTTGATTTAAGTGCGCCATTTTTTTTTTATTGGTGATTGTTTGTGTATATGAGATTGATTCAAAACATCCTTATAATTTAAATGCAGGGACCAAATGTAGACTTTCGGTGTAAAAAGGGAATTGCTCGTGTTCATTTTTTTTGGTGTGTTTGTTTGTGATTCGAACAACAAAGAAGGAAAGATCAAATGTTACTGTTAAAACATGTGATTTAGTTTTCACCCGTTTATATCATTGCAATTTAGCTGCATATCAGGTGTTTGAGGAAATGTCTAAAAGAAAGTTTAATGCAAGCTGTGTAGCTTCGGTATCAATTTCTATGCCGTTTACAATTGGGTTGCGTAATTTCTTTCTTTAATTTGATAATTTCTCTCTTTCATAGTGCTGAAAAAATCTACTCATGGCTTCTGATTTGGTATTTTCTCCCTTGAACAAGGCACTGAAACCGTGAGCAATGAGGAAGAGATTATAAAGAAGGATGTAGAGTGCAATCCATAGAACCTTGTTCTGCAATGCTGTCTTTGATGAAGAATTTGTACTGGTCTTGGAAGACATTTTATGGGGTGAAAGAGAAAAGCCATGTCATCAGGTAACTATTCCACTTCATTACATCTACGGGATATCCATACTGATAACAGGGTTTATTTATCCTTTTCCGAGTTTTAGGTGTGTTGTGGTTATTCTTCAAAAAAAAATGATCCACTGAAAATTCTTATTTTGCCTTCTTGGTGCAGGATTACAAGTGTCCTGGAGTTGCAGATGATATAGGATTACATGTATTCTGCAGTTGCAAATGATACAAGTGTTCTTTAAGAAGATTAAATGACAAATTATCCATTGTACAAAATGATATATCATTATCAACTGAAGGATTAAAGCGATGTTTACTTGAAGAGGGAACAAGTGAAATAGCTGTACAAGACTATCAGCAGATTATGCTCATAGAATTTTCAGAAATACAAGAGCAAGGCAGAGTTCTTTGTGAAGATCGCTTAAGTTTGATTGAAACCTTGTGCCAGCTAGAGGTAAATTTTCTTCACTTTTTTCGGTTAAAAAATGACATACATATCCTAAATACCAGATAAGTTTATTGTATTAAATTTTAAATCAAACCATCAGTGCTATGTAGATTGTTATTAAGGCTTACTATAAACAACTGTCTATTTTATACCTGATTCTATATGCATATACTAATAAATTTGTTTAATTATCAGCCAAATATTTGGAAATAGTGGGAATGTGTTTTTGAAACCTTTTAGTTTTACTCATTTGCTTTCTATCAAATCCATTCCAATGTAATCCTTGGAAATGGTGGGTGACAAGATGGATTTCATTTCTTATTTAAATAATAATATAATAAAAAAAATATTTTTTTGTGAGTTTCGACTTTTGTGGTATAGTCGTTACTACTTATGGTCTATTGATTAAAGACAATGTTGTAAAAGATCCCAACAATCGTGATCGTTTTTAAATCTCTGCATTTTAGCCAAGTGTGGAAATAGAATGTGAGGTAATAAAATTGTTTAAGTTTATTAGATATGTAATTTGTTTTTTGAAAAGCTTTTGAGTTTTGAACACGTTTGAAATTTTGAATTGCAATATGGTGGTCATCTTTTCCTTTGAAGCAAATCAATTGATGTTTTCAGATCCTTACAAGATTTCTGACTTTAACTATTGGGCTTCACCTTACCATGATAGGGATGCTGAGGAGGTTCGTAGTAATAAAATATAACAACTTGAAGTTGCTGACCTTTTTACCCCTGTAATCTTTTATTATGATGTGTGATATTGTATTTGTGCAGGTTGTGTGAAAAAACACTAGCCTTAATACATGGTGATCTCCATAAGGTTAATGTCTCCTATTTGCATGATAATCCATGAAACATGAAACAAGAGGAAGGAGATGTCGTAGCTTGGGGTAATTATTACGAACTACATGGTTCGGTACAAAGTCAAAATTATAACTCTATTTTACTTTTATGCATCAAGGCTTGCCGTGGTCATTGTTAAGGATAGAAAAGACTCGAAACTATGTAAATATGAAGGAAAAAAACCTATTTTAATTCGTAGTATATGTGTAAGTTTCCTCATTCATAAGGGCTAAAAGCGGTAAATAGCAATGTACTTTTAATTATTTGTGTACTATAGCATTGCACTTTGGTTTCTTTTTACTATGACGACTTTGTACATTGGAAATCTAGCCAATTACAACAATTTACTTCCAGCTTTTTTTTTATTAGCACTATAAATTTGACAATGGTGAAAAAAAATTACCCAAATAACCTTCCGTGGGTCGTGCTTAGCACGTCCTTGAGACTTCCCTAGTATATATATATAAAAGTTACAAAAAATAGATTTTTAGTACGAAAAAGGAAAGTGATTGTAACATCTTCAAAATGGGCTTAGAAATTTTTTCCCTTTGTCTCGAAGAAGGTGACTGAGGTGACTTACCTCTGTGCATATTCCTTGGTGGTGGCAAAAGATCCCCCGATCCATCAAATAAATAAAGCATGTTGTTTATTCGCCAATGACTCTGATTACTCGACTGGTCAATATGTGAGGGAAACACTATATTTGGGTGCAAGCCTTATCAATGGTCATGTAAACACATATTTAATTAACAAACTATATAATCTAATACATAATGTTGACAATTAAGAGTAAATAATCTTACTTCATTGAATGAGATAATCTCCTTATAATTTGCAGAGGAAAGTTTCATAATATGTGTCCATTTCTTACGATCATAGTGATACTTATAAATAAGGGATGTGTCTATTATATACATATATGTCATTTATGAAAAATAAAGAATATCAACCAATATCATGTTTATATTATTAAATAATAATTAATAATACAAACATTTCATCAAACCTTAAGGGCCTATGATAATCTCGTGATGGTATACTTGAGTTGTTGGTCAAATATTATATTTACAATAAGCCTTTTGATTTTTATCAAATGCCTTCCTGCTTCCAAATGTGAGTACCACATGTGTACGCGCACATAATAATTAACAACGTGATTGAAAAATTTTTGTTGAAAGAAATTAGCATTGTACATATCGAGAAACAAGAAGTAGCTCGGATTCTGAAGTGTGATTTCATGGTGGGTTCGGATCCTAGATGCTTATCATGGGATTATTCTTTGGTGCTCAAGTATGATTAGGCCTTTTGGAGGTTGCTTTGTATTTTCATATATCCTAGAACCCGGTTTTTGAGACTATTGAAGTTTGTGATTTTGGGTCATTCTGCTATTGTTTCTCATCGACGTGTCACATTTGGATTTGATTTTGCTAGTTGCTGGTTTGGAACTTAAAGCCTCAATTTTTGAGAGTCATGTCATCTATTCCAAGAATCTAAGGGGAGATCGTTGCGGTTGCAATGATTTGCATGGAAGATGACAAATAGGCTTGTAATATTCCCTTCTGCTTATGCATAATATTTCCTTACAGTTACGAGTTCCTCTATATATTGTGTTGATGCATTAATTTGTAGAGTAGAGCTCCATATATAAAAAGTCATAAATAGTATAGAGAAATTAATTAGTTTATTAATAAAGTTGATTATGTCGTTCTTATTCTATAATGTCAAATTTTGAATTCAACCATACATAGTAAATTGCTTCACCGCAGAGATTAGTTTCCTTTCGATTGGTGGAAAATATTTTTATTTCAACAAATAGTTTCCTTTCGGATATTTTTTTCCTTTAGAAACGTGTCATATTCCAAAGAACACGTAATTTATCGAGAAATGTGATCCACAAATGGAGTAATTATCACTTAAAACATTCCAATAATAGAAAACAAGTACAATTTGTAACCTTAAATCAACACTCTTATCAGAAAATTGGTCCCATAACTCGGTTACGTATAATGAAACTTAAAATCACTTTGTCCATATTATGCATATGTGATATCTAATCTACTTCAATTTGGTTTTATTATAGCATATTTTTTTTTTCCAGAATTAACAATTATTAAATAATTACAGTTATGCTTTAAACATACTAAAGAAATTGAAAATAATAATTAATTTGCTTACAACTTGTTAGCTATGAACAATGTAACGACCCGATTTTCGTGTTCATCATCAAGGTTAGTTTCTGTTATGTTCTCTTGTTAAGTTAACTTTTTATCATGTCTAGGGTTAAGTTACAAGGGCTAAAGTGCAGAAAATGATTATTGATCATGTATATGGGTCATGGGGTAATTTTCTCATTCTTGAAGGGCTTAGTTTGTAACTAATGATGTATTAAAGCTAACCTAACTGTAAAATATGGGAATCTCATCCCATTTGCATCCAACAATCAGTTTGTGAGAGTTCCATTCTTGGAGTGTTGGTGAAGATTTTGTGGCCATTTTTGGTGGATGTTAGAGTGGTGTTCTTGGATTGCTTATTCTCTTGTCTCATTCAGTGGAAGCCATAAATTTACAGAAGGTATGTGAATGAATCCTTGAGTCTACTTCTGTTTCTTTAAAGCACGCTCAAGAGGAAGCCATGGATAGTGAAAAACCCATGGTGTAAGAGTGTTTGTTGGATTCTTATAGTGTTTTAGCTGCCTTGAACACTTGGTTATGGTCTTGGGGGGTTAGAATCATCCCAAAGGAAGTGTCAGTCGGACCTGGATTGGACATGAGATCACAAATTATAGGAAATCATTTTTGTGATTGTCTACCTTCCCTTGGCATGGTAGATTGTTAATCGGGGCACGATAACGAGATTCACGTTTTCCCAATCGCGACTAGGTGATGAAACCGCGATGTGGCCCTCTATTACCCACGACGCGTTTCCTAGGCAGAGTACCCATTTTTTGTTTTGTGGTTTATTTTTGATAGAGCTCTTGTGCAATCTTTTAGGGTGCTTAATTGCTTGTTGGAGGGTGTTCTTCCTCTGTTTATAACTCTACATATCTTGGACTAGAGGTAAGTCACCTCATATTGAAAATATAGTACTTTGTTAGGAATTTCATATCCTAGAATGTGTGAATCAAACCTAGGTTGTTGTAAGATTCATGTATCCTGATTATGACTGGTATGTATTAGAAATGTTGATTCCTTTATGTGATTAAAAGTCTAGGATGTATTCCATGCAAAATTCTTGACATGATGCTTTGGTGATAAGAATGTAGGTAGGTTCATGAGAGAAATAGGGATATGTTTTGATTGTGTGTGATGTTATTTTTACATGTTATGCTTCTGGAAATATGTTAGTTAATAAGAAGGTGAATTGCATGCTAGTGATGTAAAATGCTTAAACTTCATATGATATGTTTGCATGTTTACATAGTGAGGAAATTTTAAAGTAATATGCCATAAAATATTATAAAATAAATGAACATGATTACTTAGGGAGGATAGAAAAGAATATTGTTTAACCATTGTGTGATGAATTAATAATACATTAATTAAAAAGGGGAATACACTCAGTTGTAAGCTTTCTATATACTTCCTAGATTAATTATGTAGCAGCGGAAATAAACAACTTTAGTCTAAGGCAAGCAAATTCTAAAACCTACAAGGATCTTAACTTAATTGAGATTAACAACTATACGAGGGATATAAGTTTACTAACATTTAGAAAATCCAATTTTCTTGTAGACCTTTGATGTGGATCGAATTCAACAAGCCAGGGAAGAGTAACCAAAGTAGATTACCTCTAATGGTTCACATCCAACAATACCAAACTATTTGATGTTAGAAAATAATCATTGGAACAATAGAGAATAAGCAAGGAGCTAAAGAGATAAGATAATATCTAATCATCATAGAGTAGGACAAATTTTAGGAGTGTCTTGGAAAAGGGTATTTATAGTTTCCAGTTGCTTGCAAAGAAAGCAAATTTGAATAATTAAATAATCAAATTTAATTCAAATTCAAATCCTTTCTTGTACACACCCTTGGACGAAAATTCAAGGGTTTATCCCTTAGAATTTCATTCACCCTCTTAAGGGATCCAAAATGTTCCAATTATTAAACTATTGAACAATTAACATTTAGTCCCTACACCTTTTAATTAGTGCAAATTAATTCTAGATTAATTCAAATTAATTCCAATTAATATCAAAATAGTTTCTTAATCAATCATCACATGAATAGTTAATAAATTATTTATATCTCTCTTATAACATCAAATACTATTTGGTTCATTGAGGGAAACCCAAAAAGGACACTGCTATTAATGGATAATATTACTAGTTTAGTTATGTCATTGGACACTATTCCAACAGTCTCCCACATGGACAAGTCATCAACTACAATTGGTCACAAGGCTCTCACTTAATCAGTAAAGCGTGCTTCCTTAGCAACTATCGAACTCTAAATCATATTCTTAGAGACAACCCTTAAGATAAGTGATCAATTATTCCTTCGTTCTATAAGATATCGTATGGACATGTGACAGTGATATGAATCAATCTCATATTCCAAGATTATGTTTCCTGATTTCCGATTTATGATGACCTTATTAGATTTACAAGATTGAGCACATCAATATGAAAGGTATAGTATGCTCAAGAGTCATATTAAAATGATATTGCTAATTAACATATGATACTAATGGGTCACACTAACAACAACTTGATACAATTGATTATTTATTAGAATTTAATTTTAATAAATATTCAATAAAACTCTTATAATTAAATTGGAAATTATTTATTTCATGGAAATAATAATTTTTATTAGCAAGTAACATTATATAACTCAAATGGTATGAATTAATAAATCACACACAACTTTTTGGACTAGTTGAAACTCTTTTGTCTTTTACCAAAAGACAAAGTTTATATTTTATAAAACTTGAGTTTATAAAATTTAAACAAACTTTTCTCTTTTATATATAATTTACGAAAATTAGATGAAGGAAAAGAGTTATGGGCTTTCCATTAGTTTATTTAAAAGTAGAAGCATGGGAGAAGGCATGCTTGGACATGTTTATGACATGGGGACATATGTGCTTAGAGTGTTAAGACTTAATGGTTAATACTTTCACTATATGCATCTATGTTTGAGGCTTGCATTTTGGCTAGTGATTCTTTCCTTCCCTTGATGAAATGGCCGAAACTTGTTCCCTCTCTCTCACTCTCTCTAGTTTGGTTAGAAAACTTGAAGAACAC